TCTCCATAAATAAACATTTAAAATATATTGGCTGATTTTGTTAATCACGTTCATAAAAGTTCCTTGTTTCGCTCTCTCGCTCTCTCGCTCTCTTGCTCTCTCTCTCTCACACACACACACACAGAAGAGGTTTGCCCAGATGATGCCTAGAAATAGGTTTATAGAGTTTTCAAGCAAGTATCCCACCCCCAGTGCCCCATAGAGACTGCTGGGTTCCCAGGAATCCCCTGTACATGGTCGCCACAGGAGGGAGTGGAGCCTGTCTCGGATATCTCCCCCTAGAAAGATCCCAAGGCAGCAGGCCTGGTGATACGGGTCTGCTCAGAGGTCAGGTGTGCTCTGCAGAGTTAGTCACGTGGCTGGAGATCAGGGCTATCCTCTCTAGCGGGAGAGGACACGGCAGCAGACAGTAATAATCTCAGACCCACCCAGAGCAATCCTGTTGTACCAGGCACTGGTCTGCGGCTTCACACACGTAGCCCTTACAGTGAATGCTGTTACAATCCCCACACTACAGGCAAGAGTAGTGAGGCAAAGGTGGACTAAAACAAGATACAGGCCCATTAAAACTGGATTCATGGGTCCGGCAGGTGGCGTGGTGGTTGGGGCGCTGGATTCCCACATAGCCAACGGCAGTTTGAGTCCTGGATCTGGTGGCTTGGCTTGCTTTCTCACTTTCTCTCTCTCTCTCACTCTGTTCCTCTCTGGTCAAAATAAATAAATAAAATAATTGAAAAAAATTAAAAAAGAAAAAACTGGATTCAGCACACTTTGTTCTAAAGTTTTCAAGCAGAATGTACAGGCAGACCCCATGGCAGAGCAAGGGGACAAGAGAAACTGACTTTGAAGGCTGATTTGCAAGAGAAATGAATGCTCCAAACCAGTGATAAAAGAGCCCATTTGAGACAAAGCCACATGTTTTCTTTTTCTGCCAAGGGGAAGGGGTGAGAACAGCTGCACAGGGCCCGGTTGCCAGTTACTCTTTCTACAGCCTGAAATTCTTTGTTGTGCGTGTGTGTGTGTGTGTGTGTGTGTGTGTGCCTGTATGTAAACGCCGTACTTCCTAAAGCGCGGATGGTCAGGTCATAATGGACTGCGGAGTCTCTAGAGGGCCCTCTGCGCTCTGTCATCTGTCATCTTGCTCAACAGCTTGGCTCTTCCCTGCTCTCATGTGCTCTCTCTTTCTCTTTTCGTCTCTTTCTGTGGCTCTCTCTCACCCGGTACAGGCTAAGGGAGCCTCCCAGCCTCTCCCAGCTGGGGCCAAGGCCTGCGGCCAGCATTCATTACATGTTGGAATGCAAGGGTAACTGGAGAGAGAAAATCGGGCAGGTCTCCAGGGCTGGGCACAAGAGCTGGACACTTCCCAATCGAGGAAGGTCACTGTGGTGGGATGAGAGTTTATGGGGCTAGTTCTGCAGGAAGGAAGCCCAGTGCCCAGTGTGGGCAGGTGGGGTAGATGGCGGGCCTGAGCTGCCCTTCTCAGCATAAGGCCTGGGCACTCCCCGAGACTCAGGGACAGGCAAAGGTTGGCCAGCCCAGAAGTGAGGGAAAGCAGGTGGTGAGCAGATACCATTTTGAGGCTGTGACAGCTGTCACCTGTGTGCTCCTGAGTTAATGCCTTCCCTGTCTCACTGGATTCTAATCCTACCAGATTCTTTCCTTCTTCTTCCTCCTCCTTCATTTATTTTATTCTTAATAAAGAGCATGCACATGAGAAAGAGAGGGGAGAGAGAGACCAGCAACCCCAGCAGAGTCTCACCATGCTGCAATCTCCTTTCCCCAGCCCTTGAGCCCCTCAGAATCTTCAGTGCCCATGCATACACCTGTGTGGTTTTAGGCCAGTCTGGGGATTCAACCCCATGCTCAGTCATGTGGCCTCTAGCACTGCAGTTCAGCTTCCTACTGATTGCACCACCAGGCTGGACCCCTGCCAGATTTTCTGGCTGTGTGGCCTTGGGCCTATTCCTCCATGTCTCTCAGTGTTATGTCCCTGTAAAAGGGTATGCATTTACAGAAATAATAGTCATCACTGACATTTCTTTCTCTTTGATTTTTGGAGTTTTTTTTTTTTTGCTAGAGGGCACATGCACTTGCCAGAGAGACAAGAGATGGAGAGATAGAAAATGAGAAATCACCACCACCACCACCACCACCACCACCCCAGTGGGGATGGCCATGCTGCAATCCCTTCTCTTCCATTCTCATCTTGGAATTTTGGGCGTGCATGCATGCACACACACCTGGTATGAGTTTAAGTTGCTGGGTGTGGGACTCAAACCATGCTCAACCATGTGGGAGTCTAGCGCTTTAACCACTACGCCACCTGCTGGCCTCATCAGCAACATTTCTGAGTACTTCTTTGCAGTGGTCATTATTCCAGGTGCTTCGCACCCTCAGCACAAAGTTACTGTGAGAATGAGGTGGAGTGACCCATGTGAGGAGTGCCCGGTCAGGAGAGTTAATGTTACTCATTCCCGCACCATGAGGACAGCCGAGACCAGTGGAGATGGGATGAAAACCCAGATCCTCAGACACCTGAGCTTCTAACTTTAACCACATGACTCTACAGCCTTGGTAATCCCTGGAGCTCAATCGAATGGATTACGGACACTGCCAAGGAACCCACGTATTTTGCAAACTCTGTTTTTTCCTAAGGGACAGTATTTTAATATCCGCATATTGTTGAATTGCAAGGTACAACTCTCTTACGCAGCCCAGGAAGTGATTTCATACAGCCCTAAGTAACTGGGTTATTTTATTTTCAGTTTTTGAAATAAAAATGAGTTGCATGGAATTGGTTGGAGAACTTTATACACCCTTGAAAGAACAATGGCATCCTGGGGAAGGAAAGATCCAATTGGGATTTGGCAACTTCTGCTCCGTGGACCTGAATATCAGCTTCGCTCTCCAGTTAGCATTTCTCCATTGAGAAATCGGCTAACAGTCACGTAGGACCCCCTGAAGTCCAGCAGGGAACATGGGCTGTCCCAGCTCATGGCCAGTCTGCGTGTCTCTGGGATCCATCTCATAGTGTGACCACAAGTTTGGCTAAAGATAAGCACAGCAGGGTCAGGGTTCCAGGATTCGGTCTGGGCAGCTGGTGAGAGAAGCTGGATGTCCTGGGGACAATCTCAGTCACCCAGGACCGTGCTCAGAGCAGAGCGGGTCAGGCTGCAGGAAGGTTGCAGAGGAGCTCTCTGCTCACCACTCATTCGGGTGCTGTTCTAGGTATTGTTGGCCTAGCAGTGAACAAAACAAACTGAAAATCCAATACTCACGGAGCTTAGATTCTGGCAGGAAGTGGGGAGGGAGAAACAATAAATAAAGTAATTAAATAAACAGCATGTTAGATGAAGTTCAATGGAAAGAAGAGAATAGTGTACCATGAGGCATGCACACTCGCCAGAGAGAGACAGAGAGAGGGAAAGCAAGAAATCACCCTCCCCACAGGGGTGATGGTCATGCCGAAATCCCTTCTCGTCCATTCTCTTCTCGGGATTTTTGGACATGCATACACACATGCAGGGCATGATTTTCAAGCAGTCGGGTCTGGGCCTCGAATCTCAGTTCCCACTCCCATGTGCGAGTCCAGTGCCTTCGCTACCACGCTGCCCCTTTTTATTTCTTTATTTGCTCTTCTTTATTGTTAGGCTTGGGTTTTGTTGTTTTGTTAAACCATTTTAGATAGAGAAATAGCTGAGTAAAAATCAAAAGAGGCAAAGAAGAACCCTGGGGGAGAGGAACTAGCAAGCGCAAAGGCCCTGAGACAGAAAGGTGCCTAGGGAAGAGAGCTCGGCCCTCCCTGTTACTGCACGCCATCACTCAAACCCCAGCTTCTGTGGCCTCTTCTAGAACTCTTTGCCAAAATTCTTTTCAGTTGTAGGAAACCAGATAGAACCTTTCAGGCAGAGGGCCTGGAAATGATTTCTTGGGACAGGCTCTGGGAGAGGTCACTGCAGGTCAGCTCCATAAATCAGGGTTTTCAGCAGGCTTGCTACAAATGCACATTCCTGAACTATCCTCCAGACCTGCTAAATCAGAATCGTTAGGCTCCGTGCCCAGGAATCTGCATTTCTAGACGCCTCCTGGCATGTTGGAGCATCTGTGCTATGTATCTTGACCCAGATCAGTTTCCACTATTGTATGGTCTTCCTGTCAACTAGTCAATCCTTAGAAAAATGTTTTGAGTTTTTCTTGAGACACCTGTCAGCCATTTCTTGCCAGGGTGTGAAGGGAGAGGGCAGGAGAATGCATGTCTTCCCAGCAGTCCACACCCCAAGTCCTGTGCCCACTGGGCAGAGGGCTTTTTAAGGACAGTGAATGATCCAGTCAATTCTGGGGCTCAGTCTGACGTGACCTGTAGGGACTCAGAGGCTGTTTGCAGAAATAAAGAATGAAAGAATGAGTGTTGGCTTTAACACGGAAGGTCAGGGCAGTAGGGATGTGGATTTGGAAATACCCTATTCCCCAGAACAAGGCAGAAACCAACATCCTTTCAAAATTGTTGGCTCGAATCTACCCCCTCCCAAACCTCATCTCCCACCAACCCAGAGGAGATGGTCGCCTGTTTAGTATCTCTATTTTCTGGTCTGTAACAGAAAATACTGGAGATTTGGGCTGGCAGAGTGGGGCAGTTACTAACCGCCAGACTTCTGAGTTCGGCTCCATCGACCCCTACCCACACACGCAGCATGCAGCCAGGGGTAAAAGAAAAGATCCTTCAGTGAAATCCCCTGCCTGCTCTTTCCTCGCTGTAAAACTCGGGACCCCTCTGTGACCTCTGAGCCTCAGTCTCCCCATCCGTAATACGCGGCAGGTGAGTCCTTCGAGACAGGGTCGGTATGGCTGGAGATGCAGCAGTCGCTCACCCTCCCGGGGCTCCTGGCAGCCCAAGGGCCCGCGTCTCCACGCAGGCCACGCCCCTCACCAGCGGGCCGGGTTCGCGGTGGCGGCACCGTTGCCATGGCGACGCGCGTACACAGGCCAGGCGGGCGCGCGGGGTGCGGGCTTCCGGCTGGAGACTCCGCGGGAGCGCGGCCGGGCGGCCTCGCCCAGGAGCCGGCTGGCACCTCCAGAGCCGGCCGGGCTCTCGGCCGAGGACTGAGCGACCTCCTCCGGCCAGGTGCGTGCGGCACGGGAAGGGGTGGCGGGCCAGACTGGGGACCAGATGGGGCCGGCCCCTGAAGGCAAGGCAGCGGAGGAGGCGGTGTTCTCCTGCACATCTGACCCTGGCCAGGGTCCCCAGGAGCACCCCAGAAGAGGTGCCCTCACACCAGCCCTTCCTCCTAAGCACAGCCTCTACCTCGGCCGGAGGTCCTCAAGTGGGCCCCACCACTCTTGGCTGTCCTGGGGGTACAGCTGGGATCAGGAGGGGCGCCCCTGCTGCCCCTGATTTACAGACGACACCCAGTGGTCAGAGAACTCAGCCTTCGCCAACCTCGCCTTCCACACAAAACCTCCAGGAGCTTCTGCAGCTCTCAGGCGGCTTCCCACCTGGCAGCCCTGGCTAGGACCTTTGCTTCGCGGTGGCAGTTCTGACGGGCAGTTCTGACGGGCAGTTCTGTTCTGGAAGGGGGAAGTCAGATGATTGCAGCTCTGTGCCTCCTTTCTCTGGCTGGTGCTCTGTGGCATTGAGAACTAAGGTAGAGTTGACTACATTCGAAGGACTTTGCGCAGTTTTCAGGCAGGTGAGTGACTGCACAGGGCAAAAGGAAAGTGGAAACACACTGTCCAATCCAGACAGCTAAAGGAACAGACGACGTTTTTCCAAAATGTCGAAGATAGATTCGGAGGGGAATGAAAGCTAGTTCCCATTGAACATTTCTAGACTGCGCTTAGTTTTAGATGTCCTTTCTATTTTTACTTATTCAGCAAGTATTTTCCCAGCGCCTACTACGAGTCAGGTGTGGCAGTGCTGGGGGCTGGAGGTGGAGTAGAGAACAAGGCTGTCAGGAACTGCCAAGGGGCTGGGATTTCACCTACTTGCAAGCTAGCAGGTTAGGCTACTCGGTTAATGGGTACTGGCAGGAGTCAGGAGGCTCCTGGGCCCGAGACAAGGACTTTATTCCTCCCAGCAGGCCGCGCTAGCTTCATGTTGGGGTCCCTCGGGGTGATGAGACACTCAGGTGGATGCTATGGACACAGTGACTTTTTCCCGGCTGAGGAAAGCTGAGCTTAGGGAGCTCCAATCTCTTAAAAGGGGGCTGGTAGCAAACCTGCCCACCCGTCTCCTGGAAGGAGGCACCTCCTGGGTCCTCCCAGGTCATTTGCCATACGAACGTCTTTGGGAAGATCTTCTGAGATAGACTATGTCGATGCCTTTGCCCTGAAGTTGGGTACAAACACAAGAAACCCATGGAGAATTGTCTTTTAACAAAAGCAATTTAATTCTGTCTTTCCTGGAACATACAAGAGGGGTCTTCAAAAAACTCATGGAAAATGTGTATTTTTAAAAAACTATGGATTTCGGAATTTGTTGTATCAAAATAAGCTCATACTTTTTTTTGAATTGCCAGTGGGTACATGCACTCCCAAGAGAGACAGACAGGAGGAGAAAGCACCCCTCATGGGGCATAGTCATGCCACAATCGCTTCTCCATTTCTCCTCCACTGCTCTTGGGATTTTAGGTACACACACGTCCAGGGTGTTTTTCAAGCCACCAGGGCCTGGATTTGAATCTGGGTCAGCCCTGTGGGGTTCAGCACCCTTACCCAATAGGCTGTGGGGCCAGCCCAAACTTAATATTTTACTTCTATCTTCCACAAACGTTTTGAGGTCCCCTCATATACCATCATGAAAAGGAAGCTAACAGCAGCACGTAACTAAAAGAAGGAACCAGAAAACGGCAGAACAGGATCAGTGCAAGGCAGAAGCCACAGCAGTGAGCTGCAGCTAGAGAGTGAAGGCCTGGGGCACCGCTAGGTAGTCAGCGTTTACCAGCTGGGGACACCTGAGCAGAGACGGCACCTGCCTTGGGAACATCTTGGAGAAGAGCTGGAAAACAAGCAAGTCACTAAGTTTGGGGGTTTAGTCGGATGGCATTTCCTGTGGTTTTCCCTCGGAAGAGACATTCTTCACAAGTTCGCGTTTTAGAGGAACTGGGCTTGAATGTGGCGCCTGGGAGTGCAGTCCTCTGCAGTTGAAGATGAGTAACTCGAGTGATCTTTTTGATGGCAACAGGCATGGCTTTTTGGAAAAGGAAATGGCTTCTCCCCTCTGCAATGACAACAAACTTACCAGTAAAATGTACCTCTCATGATATGGAAGCGTGATGATTTGTGGGAGTAGAAGGGTTCTCCCCTTCAGAGTTTACCAGCGTAAAACAAACTGGCTTATTTCTATTTCTCTTATCCCCATGGATGATCTGTTCTTCCTTTCATAGGAGGAAATCCTGGTGTCAGGGACTTTTTGTGTTATCATCTGTCCCAAGTGTCAGCAAACAGGGCAACCCCTCCCCCGAGTCACTCTTTTCTCTCCCCATCCCACCCCATCACCACCCAGCAAGAGTGGAGGTCTGAGAACTTGAGCTGCCTGAGCATTGTCAGCAGCTACAGGCAAAGGCTCAGGGTTATTTCCCTGCTACTTCTTGCTGGTGACGTTTCGTCTCAGATTCCTCATCTGTAAGGTAGGCCCAGTAATGATCTCTACCCTGCAGCTTTCTTCTGAGGATGAAAGAGCCACGTGTGTACAGGGATGCTAGTGTGTACATGATGGCTAGTTCTATTAGGGATTCAGTAAATGGTGGCAGAGATGGTGATGAAAAGCAGAGTGACCCTGGGACTCTAGCACAAATAGATGGTTTCTGTTTGTATCCACAGTCCAATCGTTTTGCAGTTCAGTGACTTTTCAGTTGAAAAGGGTGGGGAAGAAAGGACTGTTGTTTTTTGGCATGACTGTGAGGTGCTGCCATACTGTGTACTTGGACTTAATGTTAAGTTGAAATTCAGCCCTGAGATGAATTTTCGATGTTTAGAACCTCTGTTGTGCCCTGAGTTATTAACGACTGTCCTCTCTGATGACCAGAACGAAGTCCATCTTGCTAAGCAGCACTGTTCGAGAACATAGTTGTAAACACGTGCAGAATTGTGGTCGTGACCATCGTAAGCCCACCTCTCCGCTTCCGCCTCTGCTCATGACTGCGTGCTGTATTTTATTCATTCTACAATTGACGTCAAATACTCAGAGGACTGCGTTTTCCTAACAATCCTTTCTGCAAACCTTACACAGGGAAAGCGGAGAGAATGAAAGCCTATCTAAAGAGCGCAGAAGGTTTTTTTGTCCTAAATAAAAGTACTACAGTTGGAAAGCATAAAGATTCAGACCTTGTATTAGAGGTAAGACGTCCCCCACCCTTCTCCACCCCTTACCTTCTCCAGCACTCCTTAGTGTTAAACAGATTCGAATGTCTTTTTTTTTTTTTCAAGTTTATTTATTTAGCTCTTCCTTGAAAGGAAGAGAAAGGCAGCACCCCAACAGGATTCCCACCCCACAATCCACACCCATCCTCAGCCAGCCCAGATCTTGGCATGCACACGTGAACGCAGGACCTTCCCGTGTGAGTCCAGTCCCATTACCACGGTGTCACCGCCTGCCCATGAATCTCTTTGAAAGCACAGCCTCAGGCCATTAGTTCCTGGTACCATGTCAAGGTGGCTGTTGGCCTGAGGTTGCCAGATGTGTGTCCTGGCATTAGTAGTGAAGCTGAGGCCAGTGCACAGTGTGATGTGTCCTCTGTCCTTTGCTGGACACACCTGGGGCTGTCGCACCTGCCGTCCCCGCCAGCAGCATGATGGGCTAGTTTGGGAGGGAGCACAGAGCTGGTGCTTTGACCTCCTCCTGCTCTGGGCTAGGCCTCTCTCCCTTTTCCAAGCTCCTTGAGTCTGCTGTGGGCCCCTGGAGCCCAGGGAGCTCACGGAGATATGAGTAGTGAATCAGGCCACACCCTGGGCCGAGCCATAGCATTCTTTCATTTCATTTCATTCTCTGAATTAGCTGTGATTTGGCCCAAAGTCTCAACTCATTGAAAGCCAAGGAAGGTGGAAAAAAGAAAGGAATAGGGACCAACAGTTGCTGTGGTGGTTAAGGTGCTGGATCTCACATGGCCGTGGTTTGAGTCTCAGATTTGGTGGAATGAAACATGCCGGGAGGAGAAGGGATTGTGGCATGGCCATCCCCTATGGGGAGTGATTTCTCATTTTCTCTGTCTCTCTGGTGAGTGCACATACTCTTGTAGCAAAATTCTAAAAAAATAAAATTTTTTTAATGGAATAATAAAAACAGTGGCTTTGAGCCCTTTTAAATATTGAAGGCAATTAAAATATTGAAGTGGAAAGAGAAGTGCAGTGGGATCTCTTCATAACTATGAAAAGCAGCTCTCCCTTTCTCAGACCTCATTCAACAGACTTTTTTGTTGCTCTTTGCTACATGTGCGCTCATGAGAGAGAGATCAAGAGACGGAAAGTGAGAAAGCACCCCCAGGGGGATGGCCATGCCACAGTCCCTTCTCCTTCATTCTCCTCTCAGGATTTTGGACATACACACACACACACCCAGTGTATTTCTCATACCACTGGGTCTGGGACTTGAACCATGGAGTCCGCCATGTGGGATCCAGTGCCTTAGCCACCATGCCACCTGCTGGCACTCAAGAGTTTTTAAAAACTTTTAAAAAAAAGTATAAATTCACAAGAAGTCCCCAAAATACTGGAAAGAGATGGCATGTGCTTTTCACCCAGGTCCCAGGACGGTTGCCTAGCGTGTGATTATAGCCATATCAAAACCAGGAGACTGACACTGGGACAGTTGTAGCTCTGTGTCATTCTAGCATGCGTAGAATCATGTGCAGCAATCAAGATGCAGGCTGGTTCATCATCAGAGATCTCCCTACGATACCTCTTTACAGTCATAATACCTCCCGCCTCCCCCGCCTAGCCCAGACATCCTCTAACCTGTTATCTATCTCCTAATCGTGTTACTTTAAGAATGTTACATAAATGATATTCTACAGTGTGGGACCTTTTGAGGTTGGGGTTTTTGTTTTGCACCCTTGAGATCCTTGTCACTTGTTCCTTGTTACTGGTCAGTAGTACTCCATGAAGGGGATGCACCACCTTTTGTTTTCATTCACACATGAAAGGACATTTTGGTTATCTCCACTTTGGGGCTATTACAAATAAATCT